GTCCATCACCACAGGCTGTGCCACAGGAGACACTGAGGCATCCAGAGGCATCCAACAGCTGCACAGCACATGCACTGCGGGTGGAAAATACCTCACTTTCAGTGCAAGTGACAGGGCTTGGCTGAATACACAGGTCATATTTTCCTTGCCACAGTGACAGTAACAGTTTAGGTTTCATAACATGCACCCAAGTGGCTGCATGCAATGACACATATGGGCTAAAAGGAAAAATAAACCAATGTGGTACATACTTCTGAAGCATTCAGACTGAAAAAAAATGCTTAAGTACACACAGCATCAAGGCCTAGTTGCAGTTATGACAAACCTTCATTTTACCTTAAGGCATTTCAAACAGTTGGCTAAAAATTTCTTTATTTCTGCATCAGTTCCTGGTAGGAATTTTAGGGAAAGATGGGTAAGATGTTTAAAAGGGTTGGTCTCCACTACATTTAAAGAGACAGCTGTGTGATCTAGAGCAGGTGCTGAAGAAACTAATTGCAGCAAAAACCTAGGGAAAAACCAAAATAATCAAATGTTAAGCACATCTTTTTCTGAAACTACCTTTAGATCCTACAAGCTATTTCCAAATAAAATGTAATTGTTTATGTACATTAAAAGGCTGTCCAGTTTTTGTTTGAGAAAGAATTATACAATTCAATCCCTATGTCACAGTTAATATTTAAAAAAAAATCAACTAAAATGCTTGCACCCTATAATAAGGAATGTACAAAACTAACCAGTTTGTTTATCTGTAAAATTTTCAGCAGCTCATCTTGGACTTGGGAGTGCAAAACCAAGTAGGGCCTTTGTAACCAAATTCAAGAGGAAAACAGACCCCTAACTTTTAGGTATCCTACAAACTAGTAAAATCCACAGCCCACAAGACATGCTCAGGAAATAGCCCGAGTACTTGGAGTGGAGCTGAGTATAGGGCTTTCCACACTACCCACACAAATAGAAATAACAGATCAAAAGGCCACTAAAAGGAAGACTACATCTCAGGTCTCCCCCCTCACGTTTTAATACCTGAATACTGAAAGGAAGGAAAATAAATCCTTGTCAGAATGCCTTATAACCTTGCCTTCTGCTGTGAAACAGGATGATTTACACCTCACTCCACCGATTTCAGATCAGCTCTCTAGCATTAAATTATTGAAAGATAAAAAACCAAAACAGAACAAACCCCAAAACAACAGTGCTGCATTCTTGCCCATCTGCCAGCTTGTGAAGCTTGCCAGCTTCAACTCAGATGCAGAGACTGTTACTAGACACCAATTCCACCGCTCAGTCCTCCCGAGAGTTGGGTTTTGTCTGTTACAGCCACTGACTCAAATTTGGGTGTGTCAGGGGCACGTTAAATTATCCTTGTTCTACTGATTCTTCTCTGTCTGAGGGACTGACAAGTATTATAAGAACTCAACACGTACATACAGAGTAACATGGCACATGCTCATAACCTACCTTGGGGTGTCTTTGTTCTGTTCCTGAATGCATTGCTGAAGCAGATCTATAAATTTTTGTGGGAAAGCAGAGAAGTCTACCAAGAGACCTTGTTGGGATTTCAAACTATACAAAGAGATTAGGAAAAAAAATATTAACAATATATAGAAGTGAAATTTATTTCCTATAAAATGTTTTGTTCACACTAGTAGAAAGAACAAATTCCGATCATGTCATTAAAGTTTACTAGCATGTTGTTTTCAAACATAAGAAATGTAACCACATTGTGGATAATAATCCCAGGAGGATATTTTTGATTTCAAGAGTTCTTGCAAATGGGCCGCACTGTTTTTTCACAGAAGTTATTGTAGCACAACAAAATGTGCTCCTTTAAGCAGGCATCTTCCTCACAGCACAGAGGCTGTTGGACAGGGCACGTGCAAGAGGCAAAGGACAGTGAGGGGAGACTCCCCCATCACCAAGACTATCTGCTACTTGTCTATTTGACTGCTCCCCTTCACCACAGACACAGTAAAGTCTGAGACAGAAACCTCCATCACCAAATGCACGAAGCTGTACCTCCGTATAACAAAACACTTCTGCACTTCTGCTTTGCAAACACTATTTTACTTTTGCCTTTTGGTCTGCACACTGACCACACCTCTCTTTTTAAAAACACACACCAAAACACTCCCTCCCCAAAAAAACAAAACAAACAAACAAAAAAAAAATCAACCAAGCAACCAAAAAAAACCCCAAAGCAAAAACAAAACCACACAAACAAATCCAAAGAAAGCAGAAAACTGAAATTTTCATGCTTGATGCCCAAATTTGACGATCAATGATCAAATTCTGAGCAACTAAATGAGACCTGACAGTACAACTGGTATGCAAGGTCTGTGAATCTATGTCCATGCAGACTTATTTCCTGAAGTAGTCAAAAAAAGTAGTTATAAACACAAGATGCAATCAAGCAATATGAACTGTAGCACTGCATCTACGCAGGGAACTTTACATCAGGATCCCACATCCACCTGTATAACCCTGAGCCACTCACTCTCCTGCACTTGGCAGTTTCACCAACTGCTCGAAGAGAGCAATGCTGCCAAAATACTGACCAAACTTCACAAGGGAGAAATGTAAAAACCTAAATTCTAACACAGACCATTCCAAGCTAAAAATATTCCCTCATTCTTTTTTGCCATTTAGAAACATTTTGCAGAGAAAATATTATAATTTCACTTACCTTTGAAAATCTTCCTCAGATATGACAAGGTTATAAAGGAAAAAAGGATCAGTGTCATCAGTCAATCGAACGGCTAAGTCCTGAAAAGATGGACATTTAAATATGATTTAAAATACTATTAACCACCCAGGAGTGTTTAAAAATTTTAAACCAATATTGCAAACAGTATTAAATGTTTTAAACAGTATTAACTGTTTAACCAAAAATACAATAGAATTGTGGCAACTAATTCAGAATGTGTAAAACATTAAACACAACTTCAAATATTACAGTGGGAAAACAAGGAAAATTCTTTTTCACAAAAATAAACCAAGTAAAAACCTTCAACTTTGAGCAGCAAAGGTTTCAAAATTCCATGTGTATTCATCCTTTTCCAGAAAGAAACCTATTTGCTATATTTTTCCCCATCATGAAATAAAGTGTATCATTTGCAGTCCACCGTAACAGATCACAAACACATCACTCCCATAACTGGAAATTTTTCAGAGCATACTGCTCCTAAAAGTTTAAGAAACCACTGTCTGAAGAGTTTACATGCTGGAGTGTGAAGCGAATATAGAATGGATACAGCTGAAGTCCAGTAAGCTCATAAGGAAAACTGCAGCACTATGCTGCTTAGCCTTTAAAGGGACGCTCATTTGTTCGCTGGAGGACTACACAGTATTTTGGAAAAACTGCCTTCTCTGAAAGCACTAAGTCTTGCACTACAAGGAAGGGGTTATGCAAAACACCTGGTACATCAGGCCCAGGCACCTGTTCCCTATAACAAGGATCACACCTGGGTGAATAATATAATATTCCCTAGCAGAGGTAAAAAAGTAGAAACCTGACAGCTCTTCCAACGTAACTGAAGTGTGACCACAGCACAGGTACAGATACAGAACTGAAACACATTTCAGTAATTCAGGTGCCAGTAACACCAACAAAACTCTCAGTTGGAGATGCACAAACTCAGGGATTGACGCATGCAGACAGTTTACACTGACACTAACACCACCCTGAGCACATGGGGCAGACTGATGTGTGGGATAAAAGCACCTGCTTAGTCTGATGTCCCATTAGCTGATGAAGCATTTGTCTTTTCAGACTGACAGCTCACTGATGTACCCAACTGCACTTCCAGGCTCCTCCTGACACAGCCTGCAGCATGGAACACAGTTCCATGAACTGCTTCTTCGCACTGTGAAGAATTACTGTTATCACTGCCACCATCAGGAGAATCTTTCCAAAAAATGCTGTATTCCTTTACAAACAAATCTTTACTCAATAACACTATAACTAACTCATGATCAATCTTAACATCAAGCTGAGTGCACATACAGTTTAAGTGACAATTTAGACATATACTGCAGATGTTGTAATCTCATTGCTACTTTCCTTAAGATAGAAGAGGAGTTATTTTTTTTACTGCCAATTTAGCACCTTAGACTAAGTACCTTTAGTGTCAGGTACTGTTCTGAAGCTCTAACCCATGTTCCCCTGAGGGTCTCCAAACACTTTTAACATACAGGTTTACTAAGACCCATGTATAACCAAACTAAAAGAGAGGGCTAAAAAGGCTAGGAGGAAAAAAAAACAACCACATCATCTCAAACCAACTAAATTACTCAATAAATTATACAAAAAATAAAATAAGGTCAAATGACAAATGCTAAAATCCTATTTCCTTTGCCTATTTATCCTTTTATAAAATGGAATTCACGTAATATCCAATGAATGACACAGATATGACTCATCTACCAACCTTTTTATGAACAGGATTAGAAACTGCCAGCAGCTCAATATTCACTCGAACATTTAATCTCCTGAATACAAAAAAATAACAAATCAAGAAAACATTCTCAAAACAACATGTTCACAGCTGCATTACAGGAATCAATGACATTTAAAAAACAAAAATTTCAGCAGAAACATTAAGAAAGTTGCCACTGATGACTACTACTAAGATGTAACAGTTTCAGTTATCATTGCAGCTCCTCAGTCACTGCTGGTTTTTTTGCTGCTTGCTTGTTACCCAACAAACTTTAAATAGCAATGCAGAAGTTCGGAAACTTTGTCCAGAAATCATAACCTTTAGAAAAGCCTGTTGGAATTCATTAACGATTGCTGAAACTTCTGACAATCATACAGTGCTACCTTGTCTTCATTTACTTCTTGTCGAGTAAGAAGTTACTTGCGTTACAACACATGCCTTCTTACAGAGGCAAACTAGGCACACACTGTCTAATCCAGACAGGACCTACAGCGCTATATTCACTGTATTTTGAGCAGACGGTCACATCATGAACGTCTGGGCTTCCCCAGACACCCGGCCATGCGCTCCCTCGCCCAGGGGGCTCAAACGCAGGGTCTGGGGGAGGTGCGGGCTCTGCCCCGCTCTCCCGGGCCGCGGGGCGGTGCCGAGGGGCCGCGTCCAAGGGAGGCCGCGCTCC